CCAAAAAACAGAAGACGCATAGACTTCAGGAACGTCTGGTCAAATAAGTGTCGTTCCTTTTTTCAATAATCTCTAAGTAAGTCTTTCCCTGTTGTTGGTTTATAATAGCTACAACTATTACAATATTACGAAATCACCACACACATGCTGTTATATATGTATTACAGATACGACACTAGAACAATGTTTTAAGTGTAACAAACATGACACGAAAGTAATATTCTATAAGTGTAACAAGTACTTACTACAATAGTGTTAAAATATAGCAGACTGCACAATCGAAAAAGATCTTTAGGGTAACATACACGACACTAGTTCGCTTTTCATGAGAGCCAAGCTATACAATACTAGATCACTTTACATAAGTCGTAGAATATACAACATAAATATTCTAAAGCATAGAAAGGTGATATCCATGTCTTTTTGATCGCCAGATTTAATTCCATGGTATCACTGACGACTCCTTTAAGAACGAAACAGCTGTGTGATGGAGTTTGGTTTTATTTGGCTCAACAGTATCTTATTCTAAGGTGTGTGAAGGTGCTATTTACTGGTGTGAATTTTTGCAATCGTATATGCATAACGATTGTTAAATTAGTACCTTCTTGTTCCCTAGCCACTAAGATTTACAGTCACGTTATAAATGGCACCTGAAGACGGTTAGATGCTTTGCCCAACACCACAAGTAACTATCTATTGGGGAGTGTTTGCTTCCCCAAATGACAGATTGAATGGTAACTTTGGTTTGATAAGATTGTGAATTGGTTAGCTATAGAAATAGTATGAGGGCGACACGGAAATAGATCTGTTAGTTATGTATGACGTGTTTTAGAGAATACCGGCGGCGTTCAAGTCTTCCTTAGTAATAAATCATGTTCTTAATAGAACACGCCACCATTGAATGTTCTAGGTTTTTGCCATGATATAGGTAACAGTGCTGTTTATATGAAGATAATTGTGTTTGTCATTTTGTCACATGTTTCCGGTAGTGTATTTTGATTTCTCTGTCACAGACAATATATGACATTTCCTCTGAGCGTCTCACAAATACAATTCTGTTGTCCCGGATATTGGAGAAATAGCTAGAGGCAGACTTGACGTTTTCATTATCATTGATATCGTATATTGACAAACATACCACTTGAATCTCATGAGATTCAACCCGTCCACGACAAATCTGATTTCAAGATAATCATTTGTTGGCTGGAAAGGAAACGATTTTTGCATTCCTGTGAAATCATGGCCGCTGGCTTGGCGATATTCCTGGAAATCGGTGTCCAACAGTACAGTTTAATATAAGCCTAGAGAAAATGAAGGGTCATTTAACACGTACTGGTATATTATTGAACATAACGTATACCTTCACCCTCAGTATAACACTCTTTATAATGTTGAGTACAGACATCAAATATCGTTTTTTCTTAGACGTGTAAAAGCGCAATTCTAAATGCTATATTTTGGTCCACAGTCTAAACCCTATTCATTGATAACCGTTAGCAGTGAAAGTTGTCGCTTCGGATGCACCGAAAATCCAGAAGCGTCTTAGCAACAATGGGTGTGTAGGTAATATGCTAATATTGTCTTGGTTAACCATAGGTGAGTTTCCGAAATTCCCTCAACCACTTGGCGTAACGGCAGGCGTTTGTTGGAGCAATTTGTCTATTTGTTTGGCGGGTTTTGCGTCCACTCCAAAGGCCTTTTGATCATATAGTGTAAGGGCTTAAAGCGCACTTCTTGTATCGCTAGTGAACGTCAGTCATATTAACTCTGTTTATTTGGAACTACAAACTGACCAAAGAAAAGGTTCAATTTAATATACTTGTGATAATGTTATATAAACAACTTATCTATATTCTTTTGAATATGATTTGATTTTCTTGTTTTCCATGAGTGAAGAGTTCGTTTACAAAGTCTGAATTCCCTCACTATATATCTATATATGTGTATATTCATTTCTGAACAGAGTTTCTGTCTGTTGCATGTGTACATTAATGGTCTGATGGATCTGAACGAAAGAGTTTATATCATCCAATCAGAGTGATGCAGGACATCGTCTTTATTGCGTTTGTAACCCAAACCTTAGTGTTCATCAACGTGTGTCTGTGGTTACAAAGGGTTAAACTAATCTTCAAAACAACGACAACATTGTATAACAAATATATACGATGAACTGAATGTGTCGGTGCGGCTTATCAAAAGACTTCTTTGCTGCAACTGATGTTTTTTGGAGTGCATAATTCCGAATTCGGTGTTGTGATACATCGACAACATCTAACATCCTGTAGACTTCTCGCCTGTCAATGTTTCCGACTAGCAGAAATATATATAGAAAATAACTTATATAGTCAACTAAGAAACGTCAAGCAATGCAAGACTATAAAATATTTATCAAAGTTGGGTCACAGTCTAGCAGAAATATCGTACCAGCTGTGTCAGAGTCGAAAAATCAATGTATGTTACGAAATTTACTAACGCTAATAAGATCGACAATATTTTTGTAAAGCAATAACGCATGGCCGAATATTTTCATGAGAATGATATTTTCGCTATTTCCTGTGGTAGTAACATAATCGTGAAATTTCGATTCATAAAATAAGAAGACTCGTGCAAATTGTATTTGCGATGAAATAAAAGTGTTGTCATATCAGTACCTTCACTAGTCAACTTAACTATCCAAGAATATTTCAACAATCAAAATATGTTGGACGGATTATGTCCGATAAATGTTTTATTCTTTTTTTGATATCGTACGGGATCTTGTGTTTAAAGTACAGATCATTATCCCTGTATTTAATTATATTAGTGTTTGACGCAGAAATCAAACATCAGATACAAAAAGAAAGTTGACTTCTGGAGTTTATATTTGTGAACATATGCAGATATCATTTAATTTTAATATTCAATTAATTGAAATTTAATTGTCTCATTTTAATTGAAAATTACGCAAATTTTGAACCGCAAAAAATGGTAATGAAATTATTTTCAAAAGTACACCAATTATTATTGCTGGTACATGTAATGGTAGTAGATTCAGTACCCATATTGTCTAATACAAATCATCGCCTATAATAATGATGACACCTGAATTCCGGATTTCAACACGAATGTCAGCATTTTAGTTTTAGCTTGTCAGATTAGTCGTTGTTTGCCGTGGTTAGATAAATAATAAACATGGATCTGTTTATATCATGTGATTATTGATTTACGGATCTGTCGCGTATCCTTACCAAAGACATTTACTAATGCCTGTTTGTAGTACATAGTATGTACATGTGTACTGGCATGGTGATCTGCTACACCGTAAAAGGATTGGAAACCAAGTGATGAGTTTTAGCAATTTTGCCACGACAACGTGCTATGATTGTAACAATGATGTGAAAACTCATATTTGCACTGCCATCCGCTATATGTGAATTACCAGAGAAAAGACTTCCATAAAGTGATGAGTTTTAGCAATTTTGCCAAGACAATGTGCTATGATTGTAACAATGATGTGAAAACTCATATTTGCACTGCCATCCGCTATATGTGAATTACCAGAGAAAAGACTTCCATAAAGTGATGAGTTTTAGCAATTTTGCCAAGACAATGTGCTATGATTGTAACAATGATGTGAAAATTCATATTTGCACTGCCACCCGCAATATGTAAATTACCAGAGAAAAGACTCCCATAAAGCTGTGAAAATAATAGCATTCAGGTGTATTTGTTGGACTAGTTTATGCGAAGTAACCTGACCAACAGAATTGGGAACAGCGGAAGGGGAACCCCCATCATCACGGCATTAGGCCTACATTATTTTGCCTTCGGTTTCTAGCTACACGTCTATCATGTTAAAAAGATTGATATCTACCTATAGACTATGAAGTATAGTCCAAATCGGCGTTTTCTGTGGATAATGAGTACCTGAACGTTTATTTCTATCACAATCATTACATAGACTTACAGTTATATATAAACGGTTAATATTTGTATTTTGCTAGCTACTCTGTCAATGGACTTACCACTCTCGATATCAATGCGATCACACATAATCAGTTGACAGTAAAAGAATGGCCCGGTTACTAGTACCTCACTTAATTTTAAAACTGTACACACGTTGTTGGATGACTTTGAACGTATTTAATTTCGTCGTGGCTGGCCCGATGATATAGCAAATGACAAGTATTAACCATTACCGTTATCATCTCGTCTCTACGATCTTTTAACGAACACGCGCGAATTCCCAGAAAAGCTGTTAAATTTGTACTGCATTCCCCTACCTCCTCCATAGCCTAGTCAGTTATGACTTCAAGAAAATGTGACAAAGGTTAACTCAAAATCATGAGTATTGCTAAAACGGATCTATAGTGCATGAATCCCTCTAAGTATATATCTTAGATGTGTTAAACCTATCAACCTTCAGGTTAAATCTATTGAGTTTCCACCCCTTTCTGGCAAATGGATCGGGAATACTTTATTCCTACTCACCCAATGAGAACATAGTGTTAAGTATACTCAGTTCCGACCCCTTTAAGGCAAATGAATCGAGAATAAACGACAAGATTACGCTAACTTGCGACAAAGAATGACGGTTTTTTTTTTGTGTCGACAATGAAAGATAGTAAAATAACTCCGTTTTCGCTTTGTCTTCTATTAAAAAAAACTTAAATGATTTTCAGTATTCACAATACAAGTTTTATTGTGCATTACCAATTACAACAACCATGACGTTACACACCAGTTTCGAATTACGACAACCATGGCGGGTCACCAATCAGTTAATTAGGACAAGCACAACGTGTCACCCGCCAGTTAATTAGGACAAGCACGACGTGTCACCCGCCACTTAATCAGGACAAGCATGGCGTCAAATCTACCGGTTAATAACTAGGACAGGCATGGTTAGGCGATGCACATCACCAAACAATATAAATAAAGTGTCACTGTCCAGTTAATGACAAAAAAATACTTGGACATATTGATATATCTGATATATCAATGCTTTTCCATTTTGACAGGAAGCATCGGTGTGTATCTTTGAGAAGAAGATTGCTGACAAGCTCCATAAACCGAGGAGACGTGAGACAGTGACAGAAATACTACGACAAGGAGTCCAGCTTTTAGAGAAGTTCAAACACCCTCGGTTACTGGGTATCCTACATCCACTGGAGGAGAGTCAGTAAGTATTGACCAACTTTATACCTACCTTATAGGTAACAACTCGACCATACCTCAATACATGTCAAGTTGACAATAGATAGAATAATTGGCATTCTGTATATAATTTGTTCTTCTGGACTCTCTTTTGAAGGAACACTCATGTCAAAACCTTAAATATTCATCAACACAACCAAACCTTAAATATAGGTCAACACCACGAAATCTTCAATATTCATCAACACGACCAAACCTTAAATGTTCGTCAATACCACCAAACCTTAAATATTTGTCAACACAACCAAACCTTAAATATTGGTCAACACAACCAAAAGCTAAATATTGGTCAACACTAGCAAACCCTAAATATTGACCAACGAAATCAACTTTAAGTGTTCACCAACATCATAAATTATAAAATGTTGTCATTTTGAGCATACATTATTTTATTATTCAACTGCAATGGGACATGGAGTAGGTGGTATCACATGTACTTAAAAAACCTTTCAGGACATGAAGATATCACAGAGAGATTGTATCAGAAACTCTATTAGAGTTAGAGTGGAATTTTTTTTCTGATTCGAACCCAATAACATCACAACTCATAATACAAAAATCTTTCCTGATGACAAGATGTATTTCCCGGTGTCAGAGAACAGAAGACAGCCCGATTCCAAACTATGGCAATCACATACAAAATTATTGTAAAACTTTAGCATTAGTCGGTTAATTCTATCACATGACACCCGTGTACTTGTTTAGTTGACAACGCGTTTCCCGTCTTCAGTAGTGACTGAGTAGTGCATTCATATTTTTCGTCAAATGGAAATAGAACTAGGTACGAATTTGCTTCTAAATGATAAAGCGAAGCAGGAGAGTGTATCTAATTTGATATAGCACTCTTTCCTTCAGATCGAAATTAAAAACGAGTTTTGATTTATGGTGAGAAAGTACATTACATTTAGCCATTCTGTAGCAAATATGAGGATTCGACAACGCTGTAACAAGGCAAGAATATGTTCGGACCGACGTGGCATATTGAGTTACGAGAAGAGATCGGTTTCGCCAGGGACAGCATGAATCTGCCTTGTCAACATGATGAAAAAAAAGCATTCTCAAATGAAATTTGATTTATTCTAAATATGGAAATATTGTTTCGCATGTTGAAATTAAAGATAACTGACATACAAAAATAACATGTTATGGTGTTTATTTTAATCTTGAATCAACTGACGGAAAGTTGGCTTTATCATGATTGAAGCTGGGCAAGCTTCATAGACACGAGCGGTGCTGCCTTCTCTATCCTTGTCAGTATGGTATGATAGGCTTTCTAATGGCTGCCAATAGCATGGTCATATGCCACAGACTGTCGTTGAGAAATCGAGTCCATCAGTTTCCAGATGAATCAAATGTACACGTCGTGCTAGGTAATGGACTAAGAGAATTGATGTAGTGTCGAATTGACCAGTAAATGGCTCAATGGTATAAGTAGGGACATACAATGTACCAGGTCACGATGCGATAATATTGGGCTTCTGATATAAATATATAGTATGTACTATTAATACTTAATACTACTTTCTGTTAAGGATGTATCCTTCAGAAAAATAGAAAAATTCCAGTTTTTTTTCTGAAGATGAGTTTTTGAAAGGTTTGATTTTAGATAGCAGATAAAAAAAACAAAAAAAAAAAAAAAAATAGAAAAAAAATGTTGCTGTACTACCTTACGGTATAGGCGTCCAGATATAGGTAACAGAAAATAATAATTTCGGCATACTATTTTTTCTTCTTGAGTTGCAAACATTCTCCGGTATTTTCGAGGCAACCTTTTTCGAAAACAAATTCCGTCTTTCATTACAAAGTAAGGGCATGATACATGAATATTATGATTTATTGGATTCAACGAGCGTTAAACTGCATGGCAACAAAAAAGTGAAAATGTTCCTAAATTACATTAATCATGTATTTGACCATCATCTAGTATTAAACTGTTTTCACGACTTTCGGTTTTGATAGAGAAATTTTCAAAAATTCTTTTCATGATTAAAAAAGAAAGGATTTTTTTCCAGGATCAAGACTTCCGTTTTCAACTTAAAAGTATTTCAATAGATGATTAAGTATATAAAAAGACTTAGGTTTAAGATTTAATGTTGGAATTTATCTTATATTGACTGATGTCTTACTTCCTGACAAAACATCACAGTATAAACTTAATGATTATAAAGCCCAAGAGGAGCAGCTATACAATCAAGGAAACACAATTACATGTAAGTGGTTACGACTTGAAATTTCCTTCCAATGAAATGAAATTTGTCTGCGGTGTTTGTTTGGATTTGAAACACTACAGTTAAGAGATGGAATTAATTAATAGGTGTCACGGTTTAGAATTGACACATGCACTTGGTATTCTTATGAAATCATCTGATATTGAAAATCAAAGTTTACTGAGATATGGGATAAAGGTACCTAGATTTTCCATCAAGCCTGTCATAGGTTACATAAATTTAGATCCCTAGTATCACTGAATAGTTATAGAATAATTACGTTTAACTCATTATTTGACTGTACTGTATGTAAATCTGTATCAATAGCTTCTGCTTACACATTTTGACATACCCCAGCCCTGGCTCAGTCGTGTGCTGGGTGGTTGGAATACTGGATCTTTAAAATTCCTGGGATGCTTTCTGCATCTAGTGACCATGACCTTAAAATTTACGACATCACATTTCACTAGGCCTATTCTTACTATTATTATGATAACAAGTTAGCCGGTGGTATGAACTAACATATAGTGAATGTAAAATTGGGGTTTTGTGGTACATGATACAGAATTCACGGTGAAACAAACACCCAACGGAAGGCTAGAAAATGATATTAATTAATGATTTGGATTCAACTGTTTCATAGTAAAAAATGACACTTGGGCAAATGATTGATATAAAAATTTAAAAAAAAGAAAGAATTAAAAAGTGTCTCGACTGAGCTTCTAATTCACGTAATCGAGAGGGTGTCGTAGTTCCTTGATAATCAATCAACCATTTGCCCCGTAGTTCAGTAAGCAGGTAACCTATAAATAATGCGATAGTAGCTTGCAACTGGAGGAAAAAATAACCGATAACCTCTTGGCGTTGTCAAAGCTTTCAACTAAAGATCAATATTTCCGAATCTTTCAAACTTTTTACAAAATGGCTGACCTTGGGGAGCAGACGCATTTGAACTGAAATTCAATAGCGTATTTTTTTCAGCAAGTGTACAATGTGCACGTGTGGTCAGATCATCAAATTTAAGCAAAATGGACTCAGATCAGTTGTATAGTCACCCACGGTCATTAATATAAGAATTCTGATTATTGATATAAATGCTTATTTAATTATTATTTATCTTTTGAAAAAAAAGTATTGTTGTGTTGCCAATTTTAGGTACTTTGATAGACTGCTTTGCTGGGGATTGCACTGCAATATGGCGTTGCTGGGATTTCATAAAACAAAACGTGTAAAATCTCTTGACGGGTTTCAATTTTAAAACGACACTATGAAAACTGAATCTTTAAGGTAGTCTAAAACATCAAAAGTCACAGGCAGTACCCTTGTTTCGTACGCGAACGTCTCCTTAACATGGCATGGCATTTGGCTCTATGTTGTCCATTCGAATCTCAGGTCCTGTTTGCCTATATGACATTGACAAAGAGTTGATAATAAACTGATGAGTACAATGTATACTCGCTTGGTATCGCTGACGCCTTTAAGTTAAAAGAAAACTATGTCTCGCAACAAACGACCAGAATCGATATACCGCAAACAGCTCTGTCAAACCGAGATAAATCTATCGTTGAAAATTGTGAAAAAAAAGAAAAAAAAAGCAAAAAGAACACAATACCAACAGAACGTTGTGTGAGAATTTGTAGAGAAAATCAGTATTTCTATTTTTTGTAAATCTAATATCTTAACAATTTTTATCGTACATTGTATATACTCTCCAGAATTTAATATCAAGCACACGACAGACTCTTCTGCATCATCAACTTTATCTCGGTTTTTCCCCACAGTCTTCTACCGAATTGTATGATAAGAATGGAAATGGAGATTTCAATTTCTCTATTACGAATTTTCCATTTGTAGATAGCAGCATCCCTGCATCACTAATCTATTTTGTTGAAATTATGTAGTTGATTAGATGTTCAAGGTTTTGTTCCCAAAATCATAGTTTTCGTAAATGAGGTCGGCAACCAGCAGACACATGATTTCGACAAATGCAGGCTAATGTGAATTATGGGTGTCGTCGTTGAAGCTGAAAACGCTTTCTCTTACAAAAACTGGTCTTAATCCCTTGTAGTTTCTTTTATTCATATTTTGCCCCACTCTTATTGAGTTTGAGTTTTAATTTTGTTTAGACGTTTGTATTTTCTTGTTTCCATAGCAATCACAATGCCTGCTATCGGGTTATGATATACTCCAAAGACATCAGCATTACAATGAAACAAATAAACGTTTAATCATTTAGTTCTGAGCAGTGTTCGATTGTCGACTTGGGGGCTATAACTGGCCACTGAAGGCACAATCAGACTTAGCCTTGAACTCTGGTGCTGGTAAGACATATTTGTAACGGCCAAACAATTCCCATATGAGTAACCGTGCTGCTAGATCAACGGCCAAGTTGTAACTCGCGGCTTCAATTGGGGCAATACTGTCTAATTTAGACAGGATTATAGAACAGATTGATTTAAGGCAAAGAACTTCAGCAGATGACAACAACAGATTTGTCTTCGCTGACCAAAGTCTTAAACTCCAGCTGTAAATCGCTAATTATCCTCTTCGCGTTGTGGAAGCCTACAAGTATAACACACTTCATTGAATTTTTGACGCCATTTCTAGAAGGTAGAGAAGTATTTAGTGCTACTTTGTTGCCGTCACCGATAGTATCGACCTGTAGATACCAGAGACCAAAGTATCCTGGTTTTAGATCGATTATCAAGGGAAAAACATTATCTAAAGCAGTTCTCTTATAAAACCACCTGCCGGAAAC